CACGCGGCAACTGCGGCAACTCATCCAACGTCTCCGGTCCCCGCCGGCACGGCGAGGGCGGAAAGCAGCCGGGAAGATAGCGCAGTGGGAACGGCAAAATCGGAAGTTGTGGCGACAGAATATGGGCGGCGCCAAGCGGGACGACGACCAAGAAGCCATCGAACAAACTACCAAAGCGCTCGGCAAGGCCATCCAAGGGTGCAAGAACGAGCGTGTCAAATGCTGGCGGAAGAGGCTCCAGGCAGATGGTCTAGGGAAGACCACAGCAGCTTGGATCCGGAACGTAGTGAGCACCTACCACAACGTAGCGGTGCAGGACGACACCAATAGCGACCATGACAGCGGGAACTTGCAAATACACGACGACTCCACGCCCACCAACCTTTTTTTCACAAGACGCGGTGGGAAAAATACGAGACCACTATGAGCAGCACTTCGCGGAATGCGGCCGTGGCAACGATGTGGACGGGTATTTCTACCACTGCGACGACTACATTGGGGAGGCACGCCAAGATGTACAACGAGCACAGGAGCAGCGCGACCATAGGGCACGACGCGCCATGGCAGCCCTTGGCTGCTGGGACCACTGGGCGCCACCGGCGGCAGCGCAATTCCGCCGCATGCTACGCGGGGGCACAGCAGCAGGGCCAGACCAGTGGGCGCCCTCGGAGCTCATGCTCCTCCCGGAGGAGGCACTGGAAGAGCTGGTTGATCTCTGCACATACTCTGAGCACCACGGATGGCCGTCGCAACTCCTGCAGTGGCGCCAGGTCCACCGACCGAAAGACCCAGACACAGCACTCCCGAGCCTGACCCGACTACGCCCTATCGCAATCGCGAGCGCCGTGGTCCGCGCCTGGCACAGATGGAGGGCAGACCAACTGGCCACCTACCTCAGCCCAGCTTTCCTGCCCACGCAGGGGGGCGGTCTCAAAGGGCGAATCCTCGAATCCTTCATCGAGCCATGCCTCTCGCTCATTGAGGAGACAATCGCGGCGAACAGGTACGACGACGAGGACGGCTCGCTGTCCGAGGAGGAACAGCGGCTGGTTCGGGAGCGTCAAACGGAGCTGCACGTCAAGTCGTGGGATTATGCCTCCGCGTTCGACAGGGCTTTCCCCCCGGGTCGTTCGCGAGGTCTGGTCGCGACTCGGAGCACCGTCCAGAATCACCAACAGTATCGAAGCGATCTGGACCAAGCAGGAGAGGTGGGTTGAGGTCGGCCCGCTCTTAACACCACGGGCAATTCTGGTTGAATACAGTCTGCCACAAGGGGATCCAGCAGCCATGCTCGGGATGGCCACCCTGCTCATGGGGCCACTACGACGGCAAGCTGATCTGCACCCGCGAGCAACCCTTTGCACCTTCGCGGACGACCGCACAGCGGCCACGACAGAGGCAGAATAGCTACGGAGCATCGAGGAGGAGTGGGAGCTGCTGGAGTCGGTCACCGCGCTGCGCACCAACGACAGCAAGACGCAGTCTTTCACGATGCTACCGCACCAGTGCGACAACCACCACCTGCAGAGCAAGAAGATGAAATGCCTCGGAATCGACTTCACGACGCAACGCGCGACGCTCACGACCAGAGAGCGAGGCAAGCTTGAAGAGGCATTTGCCCGCATGAAGCGGATTGCGTGCCTGCCCCTGAGAATGCGGCTGCGCGCGACCGCGGTGAGCACCATCGCGCTGCCGGTGTCGAGCTGGGCACTAGTGGTGACGCCACCGACAAAAGGAGCTATCCAGGACCATCTACGACGAGCACGAAAGGCTGTGACCCTGCGGAAATGGCCCCGGGCAGCTCCCGAACTACTTCGACTGGTAGTAATGGGGCATAGCACCGACCTACGGTACCTGAGCAGCAGACTACGTCGACAGGGGCCTGGAGCACTTGCGCTTTGGGACATGATCACGATCAAGACCGACGCGCGGGGCCACTCCACGCCTACCGAGCACACTTGGCGTCGCTTGGAGCAGAGCGCAGCGACGACGGCTTCTGGAGAGGCCCGGCGGGGAAGCTTCGACTTACCGACAGAACAGACCGACAGCTCCACGAGCTACGACTCATACTCCGATCCCACGAATGGGCAATCCTACAGGGCCGGAACCGGCGGGAGAGCCCCATGTCGGCCGGAGTGCCCTTCCCAGCTGCTGCCGTGCGCGCGGCACAGGAAGCGCGGAAAGCTAACCCAATCCTCGCCTCACACATCGCCGCCGCCCTCTGCGGCTGCGTGGTCTCGGACGCCCTGCTGCAGTCCAACCAAGGCGAGGAGGTCTCGACCACCTGCGACCACTGCGGTGAGCAGCGCGTCCCGACGCTCGACCACATGCACTGGGCGTGCACAGCCAACGCCGACCTCCGGCAAGGTATCGCGGTACCAACGGCTGACCTCACCCGCGGGCTGGGCTGGCCGACGGAGGACCTCGCCAGGAGGACCGCGACCATTTGGACAAAAATGGCGTTGGCTACGGCAGGCATGCGGCAGCGTGCGCTGGACCGCCGACACAAGAAACCACGGGCACCCAATTCCTCCGACCATGTCTTATAACCATACTCAATGGTTATTATTTGGATCACATGTGTCATCACTTTGTTTTTGTTGTACTTCAGTTCTTCTTTGGGCTGGTGTCTTCTAGTCTCCAGTTACATTGTCTACATATGTATGTGGGATTACATTGCGTACTTACGTCATTGCATGTGTTGCGTACCATAAGTGGGGACCGCCACGCAACGGTCGCCGCGGCTCTGCGAGCTGCGCGGTGCCCTCACACGCCTGCGGATCGGGGGCGCACACTGGTTATGCCCGCGGTGGTTCAAGAAGGCCCCGCGGCTGCCCAGTGCATTTTCAAAACAGGGCGCGCGCGCGCTCCTGGTGTACAGTCGGACTTTGTTTCCAGCGTGCCTTCGCGCAGCTTCTACGCGGTTTCCGACGGCCAACCTGCCAGTTTCTGGGGGAAGGCAGCCATGTGGATGTTCAATCGGGCTTTCGCAGTGGCGTTGAAATCGCGCATTCCCTGTATGTTTTGTGTGACAAGTGCATCGGTAATGTTCTCCTTGGCGCCAGTCAATTCGCGATGGAAGACGGCGTGGCCAGGGCCAGTATGGCTGTAGACAAATGCAACGGTTCTGAGCCCCGAGACAACCCGGAAGGCTTTCAGGAGAGCCCCGAGGCCGTTCAAGAATGCCCTAAAGCAACCCGAGACCCTTCCAACACAGCTTCAAGTATGAACGTTTCCCCACAAATTGATAGGGCTCAGCTGGTCGTCGAGATTTGCCGAAGTACTCGGGCCCCAAAGCCGCCCAGGAAGCAATTTGCACGTCTGCTCAGACTCACCGGCCTGTGGCTTTCGGGTTCGAGCCGCCCCGCCAAGCAGCGGCGTTGCTCGATGACTGACTGCTTCCAGCAAGGCCGAGTCTCGCGCGTGAGTGCAGCGCGGGGCGGCGCGATGTCTGGCCGAGGCACCTCCTTCGAGGCCCCGACGACGAAGGGGGCGCGCGCCTCGGCTGGTGGCGCCCGCGGAGGCCGTGCACGGGGTGGAGGCCGCCGCTGCGGCCGCGGCGCAGCGGGCGGGCCTGGCGGGCTCGCGGAGCGCGGCCTCTGCGGCTCCAGCGAGCGGGGCGCGGGGGGGCGTCTGTGCAGGTGTGTGGAGTTGCGCAACGCATGTTGAAACATCTACATTTTCTTTGTGGAACCACCGCACCACAATAGGTTAAGCACACCTACAGTGTCCTTCCCTCGATGGGCCCCTGCCTCCTGGCCGCCAGTCCTGGCCCCAGACTGCCAGAGACAAGCTGATGTAGCTTGCCCGCGTCATCTGTGCTCCCTTGCTTGGGCCAGCCGCCCCGTTCCCCCGTGGCCAATCTTCAGTGCGGGGGGCGCTGCGCGTGTTCTGCGTTTGGCCCGCCCAGAGGGGCACTGTGTTGAGGTTTGCGATGTTGCTTAGAGCAGCAGACTGCCGCGTGGGCCCGGGGCGCCTGAAGGGCATGGGGGGAGGCAGCGAGAGAAGCGCATATGTCTCTTTCAGCTCGCGCCTGGGCCCGCGATGCGTTCGATGCGTTTTCGAGGGGGGAGGGGCCCGCGAGTTCCTTTCGGGCTTGGAAATCTCGCGACCGTTTGGAGATTTTCAGCGCGGCTACACACTCTTGCCATCCCCTGTAAAAGGACTGCGCCATATTCAAGGACGGCATGCACGACGACATCATGAAGCAGTTCCTGGGCGAGGACGTGACGGCGTGCATGAGGTGCTTGGAGTTCGCGAAGCAGCACTGCCCTGGAATGACGGTCGCAAAGCTGGCGCAGGATGCGACCGAGCACGAAGACATCGGCATCTGCCTGCAGGGCTGCCTCTTCGACAGGGCAGAGGCCATCACCAAGATGCCGCTGCTAAGGCCAGCATCGACACGGGCATCGGGCACGAGCTGCACATCAAAGCTGAAGCGTTGGACGCCAACCAGGCGCAGACCGAAATCTCCAAGACGGCGAAGGCTCTCGGGTTGAAGCCGTATCTCGTGCCAGTTCGCGGCCAGATGTCCATCGTGCATTCAGTAGAGCGCGCGGATGAGTTCAAGGTGAGGTACCCCGCGTTGAAATTATTGTCGGTTTTCTCGACGCACGCGTAAGAAGACAACCGCACTCAGCGTGCCAGAAAGCGGCTCAAGGGCCTGATCCCCCTCGTCCACATGGGCATCGCGGATCAGGAAAGTGCCAACTGTCCAAATCCAGAGGGCGACATCAGCACGTCCATCGCGATGCACATCCCGAAGGTCTCCGACGTCCACGCGCGGGCCGAGAAGTTGCAAGCGAAGCCGCGCTCACGGTTTAAAGTCACCCCCCGCGGGGGATCGAGTTGCGATGAGTTGGTTGCTTCGGGTAACGGCTCGTTCTACAACTCCAACTGCTCGTCTTACATCTGTGATGGCGAAGATGATGACCCAGAGCGGACTCCAGGCGAAATGGGCAGCGGCGGCCCCTCGGTCCCCGAGCGTGGCGGGCTCGGAGGTGCCGGCGTCAGTCTACACGCCCATGGCTTCGTCGTTGAAGAGGGCGGCTGGCGGCATCGCGAATCTCGGCATGGTTGACACCGGCTCAATTCCAGAAGACGAAGGGCTTGGCATTCCCACCAGAGAGGGTCGATAATACGCACAGGGTTGGAAAGCCACAGTACTGGATCGCTGAGCTGAACCTCCATGCTCTTCGATGGCGCCAAGCTGGGGAAGGAGGAGGCGCAGGCTAATATGCGAATGCCGAAGCCCCCCCCCCCCCCCCCGCCGATCGGAACGGCCTGCGCGCCCGCGTGGAGCCCGTGGAGCACGCGAAGAGGACGTGCAGCAACCGCTCTTTGACCGACCAGGAGCTCAGAGAGCATTGGGAGCCATTTGCTAAGTTCGGAATGCTTCCCACGCCGAAGCTCGCTATCAGTTTGGTGAGACGCCGCGCGGAGTGCCTGTGGAAAGAGCTCTTCTTGGTGAGTGACGCTTCCAAGATCGAGGTCTTGGCCAAGCAGCTACGTGAGGTTCTGAGGGTCTGGACAGGCCCTCGCGCTACCAACCGCTTCGACACGTTCGACCCTAAGCTAATCAGTGCAGGCGTCGCCGACGCCGAGATGCCGGACTTCTTCGCGAAGTGCACTTTCACGAGCGGCATCGGGCAGTGGATGCGTGCCAGGGAGCGTCGAAGGAGGTTCTCGTTCAGGAGTTCGCGCTCGTCGCTGGGGCGGTGTGGTCCGAGCTCCCAGAGGACGCGGACTTGGGCGAGGGAGCTGCCGTGCTGCTGCTGGACGGGAGCGCGGCGATGAGGGCCCTTCGGAGCTTCCTGATCAAAGTCATCCACGAGATTACCGGCGTCGAGATCTTTCAGGAGTGCAGTCGTTTCGAGCAGGAGGCTTTGCGCACCACGGGCTTCGCCGCGCCTATGCAGGCCCTTGGCCAACGCGCGTTTTCTGCATATGGTTGGCACTGGAAGAACCAGAGCGACAGGCTGAAGGACGACTCCGATAAGCTGCGGGAACATGGCCCGCCATCGCCGAGGCGATCGGCAAGATCTCGAAGCCATCCACTCAGGTTACCGGGGCCGTCATCAAGGATCTCAAGGCAATGTGCGACAAGATCCTTAATTGGGAGCAGCAGGTGAATGGCCAGATCTGCATGGCGCTGCGCGCTGGCCTCATCAAGAAGGCTTCGTTGATGGCCGAAGACCTGCTGAAGTCAAAGAGGAGGAAGCTCGAGCAGAAGGACTCTAACACGGAGGAACACGAGAGGACCGTCTTCATGCATGGCACGAAAGACTTCTTCAATCAGTTGCACAACCCCGACCCGTTCAACGAAGAGATCGCGAAGTGGGCCAGCAAGCTCTCCGACTCCTTGCAGGACGTGGACAAGGGCGCGAAGATGTCGATGGTATCCGGGGCCATCGCGGCTAGGACGCCCGCTTTGGCAGAGCACGCCCAGAGGCTGCGTGGCGCGATCGGGGCTTGCAAGCCATGCGCCTTGCCTGAGCAGATCGAGAATGAACCCTACAAGCTGTTGCAGAGCATTGCGGCTGACGCGGCGGAGAAGCTCAGCTTCGGCAGTGGCGGCGCGTCTCACATCTACGACGCGATCGAGATGCTCGCAGAAATTTCCCCGAAGGGCTGCAAACGCGACTGCGGGAAGTTCAGCGCATATCTGAAGTCGGCATGGAGGCTACAGTGCGTGACGGTGACCGCGGAGGCGAAGCTGGCCGATTGCGACGGCAACCGCGCCGACTTGGACAAGCTGGCGAGGGAGTTGAGCCAGGCAGTTCAGCGTGCGACGGAGAAGTGCATGCCGCGCATGCCCACTGCCCTGGCGGATATGTTCTGCAGCGCCCTCAACGCGCGCGTGGAGAGCTCGCGTGCCAAGGCGGAGGCGCTGGTCGTGGAGATCGGATCGCAGGTGCGCGAGTATTTCCACAACGGGGTTACACTAAAAAGCCACCGCGCTCAACGGTGAGATCGATGCGGGCTGCTGGGCTAAGGTTTGGGCCCCTGGGGGGATTGGCGTTGATGAGCTGGCGCCCCTGCTTGAAGTGGCAGCCGCGGAGCGCGGCGCTTCGCGGGGCCAAGCGCGGGGTGACACGGCGGACACTCTCCAGTCGGAGTACGCGGCGCTCTTGCAGAAGACGGTCGGCTTCTCGCTTCCACCGAAAGCTGACGTCGACGCGACGGCCCCTGAGTTGATCCGCGCGGCCCGCGTGCTGACGCTCGAGCACTCCTTCATCAGCCGCTTCACCAACGAGGCTACGAAGCGTGACGAGATTGTGGTGCGGAACGAGATGAGGGACACCCAGTCCTCCCTCAAGGAATGGTCGCTGGCGCCAGAGGGCGCCCCCGCTGCGCTGGTGGCGCGTTGCCGCGCGGACCTGCGCGTGCAATGAGCTGCTGGAGGCTCGCGCTTGCGCCGCTGCCCAGAGGAGCAGCTTCCGAAGTGGAGGAGTGGATCATGGGACCCTGGAGGTTCAAGAGAGGCCCCTTGGAACCCAC